TCACTAAGCTTTAAACAACTCCTGCAATTAAATGTGCAAAGATTAAGTGTAACAAGTCGTTCGGTGTGATATAGCTAGCTGCCACCGCGCAGCGTGCCTGCAAAGCTGGTGTGTTACACTGAAGGGCGGTTATACCGGCTATACAGATACAGAATCTGGTGTGTTACGCCGAAGGGCGGTTATACCGGCTATACAGATACAGAAGTCGTGGTGTGTTACGCCAAAGGGCGGTTATACCGGCTATACAGATACAGAAGCTGGTGTGTTACGCCAAAGGGTGGTTATACCGGCTAATATTCAGACACAGATACAGATATAGATTGTTACTTTCATTGCAGAGAATACCCAGGAAGCGATGACACTCAGATGACCCAGAAAGACACCCAGTCGGACGGAACAACCTACCTTCTAACTCTGAAGCCAGGCATTCGGTTCAAGTTCCAAGTGGCAGCAAAAGTGGGAGGCATCATCTATGAAGCGTCTGCACCTGTCTACCAAACAATACCAGAAGGAGGTACAGTAACTCTAGCCTGGGTACCATCCCCAGTAGTATATTCGCAAACTCTATAACTGGGTCTGGACTTGAACACATATGTAGCGTCTGGAGTCTAAATATTCGTTCAGATTTTGAACGAGCGCGCTGATTGGTCCTACTGGTCTAAGCCCTTTTTTGGGTGTGTACATATTAGGTAAGGGCTGTTCGTATGTCCGAACGGCGACGTTAGCGTCCGTTCGAACGTCCGAACGCCTTATCATCAACATGTCCGACGGCAAACCGAACGCTAAAGCGCACATGATATAGCCGTAGTCAGTCTTTCCGTGATAAATCATCAACATGGCTAACGCACAAGCCGCTGAGCTCACGGAGGTTGATGTTGACCTCGCAATCACGTCCGTTTTGGACAATTTAGACGGAATATCGTCGCTCAAAAATGAGCAAAAAGATGCATTGAATAATTTCGTTCGTGATGTTTTGGGCGTCCTACCGGTAAAAAAAGAACGCACCGAGAAAAGGAACACTCGCGCGAAGATCTGTGTTTACAAAACAACAAACATCACTTGAATAATGCAGGTGCGCCATTGGCCGTCGCCTCTGAGGCTCAGCCAATCAAATGAAGCCCCGCTGCTCGGGCTAGCTCATTACGTGACGTCATGACCAATCGTTTTATATGTGTTCAAG